ACCACAATTGACCTAGAAATACATATTTATACACTGACCGCCTCAAAAAACAGGTATTTTAATTTTTTGACGTAGATACTTTACAGTTTATTATATTTTTTCCCAGGGCCGTATCTAGACCAACATTTCCGGGGGGGGTTGGCTTGAGAGGGTACAAAAGCTGTTAGGAAAAAAGCATAATAAAAAATCGCTTTGGGCTACACTCAAATCTTAATTCATCTTCTTCTTCTTCTTTTTGTTTCGTTCTTACTTACTTACTTAATGATCATTACTTTTTAAAAATTTTCAGCCATAATTTCGGGGGGGGGGGGGGGGTTGAACCCCCAAAACACCCCCCCAGATACGGCCCTGTTTTTTCCTAGTGGGCAGATTTTGATGACTTTTTAAGCAATTTGTAGCTAAATTATTTGACCTCTATTTTCTCTCTATTTTTTCTTTTATCTCTTGAATTTTTTACATTTATCTCTATTATTTAAATTAAAAATTAAAATCCCTATTAGACGAGGGAAAACAAAATGTTAGTGTTTTGACAAAAGTTTGAAACACCCTGTGGAATGGTTTAACCTTAGTCAAACCATACCACAACGCGTTTGCTTACTTATAAGCAATTTAATTTTTTTCAAGGTAATTTTCAACTTATCAGCAAGGGGTATCTTTTCATGATTTTTTTTATTTATCTCAATATCTTTATTTTTATTAGAGATATTAGCTTTTTTGACGAAAACAGTAACAATTTACACCAATTTCTACATCAAAAGCATGCCCTTTGCTGTAAAATCTATAATGTCTTCTTCCAAAACAAATATCTCCTATGACAATAAAGCTATTATTATTGGAGATAAAACAAAAAAAATTGGCGCCGGGAGGCACGTATAGCCGCCCATACTAAAATATGTTAATATCTCGAAAACTGCGACTTTGACTGATTTTGATGTTATTACAAATTTTGTTGCAAATATTATTCCTAATCTTAATTTGAAAACCGCGTTTCGCTAGCTACTGTAATTTTGAAGTTACAATTTTAGCCAGATTCTCGGGTGCCACAGTACTTTTGTGTGAGTTATCGTGCTACAGACGGACAGACAGACAGACACCATAAAAAATTTTGTATTTAGGTCATTTATGACCCAAATAACTCATTTTGAGTGAAATTAAAAAAACTTTTTTTTGTCGATCATAATAGCCTACCATACCTATTGGTATGGTCGGCTAAGAGCAGCCCATCAAGAAAAAATGCATCTTGATGATAACTGCTTTTATTTTATTTATTTTATTTTATTTTATTTTACTAATTACAAACACCTATTGAGGTAGCTACATGCAAAGGCCTAAAGAAAACAAATACAATTACAATTACTTAAAACTAGACATGTACTACAAAAGTACATAAAAATAATATAAATAAAATATATATAATAATAAATAAAGTAAATAAGTAACAAAGTACATAACATTTAATTTATAGAATGTGCAATAAAAAAAACAATAAAACCTATCACACCAGATTTGTCTCCTGATGCACCAACAAGATGCGCCTAAGTTCGCAAACCTAATGCTAAATATATGGGGAATTGTGTTCCCAGACAACATATCATTACAAATGGTGAGCATAAACGTGAATGGCGAGGGGCTTCCACCCTCAATGTAAAAAAGATTAAACTAACTCACTCTCAACCTAATCTTTGGTACCCTAAATTTGATGCTATTAATCAGACCACAGTCAGCATATTTTAAATTATTAAGAATGTTATATATAAAGATGACAGCATGTGTCCTTCTCCTAGAGGCCAGCGAAGTTAAATGAAATGTTTCCAACATTGATCTTAAGAGATCATTGTTGGATACATGTTGTTTCTTTTAATGTAAATATAACGAAGGAAACGTTTTTGAACCTTCTCAATCTCGTTACTGTGAGTGTAACAATTGGGAGACCAGATATTTGACGCATATTCAAGATGCGGTCTTACAAGAGAGGTATAAAGTCTTGTAGTTGATTGTATATCGAAATCTTTACTATTACGCATAACAAAACCAAGAATCCTATATGCCTTGTTAATCAGCTAGTTGTAATGATTGTTAAATTTAAAATTGTCCTGAAAAATCACTCCTAGGTCTTTAACTTCCCTACACCTCACAACCTTACAATTTCCAATGTAGTAGTCTTCAATGACTGTATTGATCCTCCGGGAAAAAGAAACAACACAACACTTTTTAGTATTAACAAGCATCTTGTTCTCCTTAAACCAGTCCAGAGCCAAGTTCAAATCAGTTTGGAGAGCCCTAGTATCATCAATATTATTAATTGGTTTAAATAATTTAAAATCGTCCGCAAACAACAGCCCCAAAGACACCCTCAGACTCTCAGGCAAATTATTAATAAAGATTAAAAACAAAAGAGGGTCCAATATACTGCCCTGGGGTACCCCGGAGGTGGCAACATATTGATTGGATTGAAATATTACGTATCTTAACTCTTTGAACTCTCGAAATTAAGTATGAAGTTAAAAACCACAGCGACTCACCTGATAACCCGAGATCTGCCAGTTTTTCAATCATAACACAAAAACTCACCTTATCATAAGCATTTGCACAGGAAGTATATATGACATCAAGTTGCTGTTTGTTTGACATTGCCTTCGATACATGTTCAGAGAACACACATAGGTTTGTAACTGTTGACCTTCCCGGCAGGAAACCATGTTGATATTTTGAAATTCTATCAGATATGAATGAGTATATGTAGTTATATATAATTCTTTCAAATATTTAGCCAGGCTATTTAGTAAGCTGATAGGTGATGATCGTGAACATTCTCCCTCTTTCCCTTTTTAAATATAGGTGTTACAGTGGCTTCTTTAAGCTTGTCAGGAAAATATCCCTGTTTCAGAGCTAAATTAAAAATATGTTTAAGAGGGGCGACCAGAAAACTAGCACATCCCTTATATATATAAGGAGGTATATTATCAGGACCAGTTGTTTTTTTAGGCTTTAAGGTCTTTATGCTGGACAGAATGTCATCATAGGAGACCTGAGGGAAACGAAAGCCGCTCTCATAACGACAAAATTGTTGAACAGGGGTATTTGGTTCAAATACAGACTGAAAATATTGCGCAAACGCATCAGCAATACTCTGTTCATCTCTCAAGTTCACATTATTTGAGTTCATCCTCTTTGGCACACCCCCACAATGTGATCTGTTGCGCACGAATGACCAGAAGGTACTGGGATCGTTATTGATATTATTGTTGATTGTTTTTTTATAATTGGCATAATTTAATCTTGTCAGTTTTTTAATATCACACCTCAATGATCTAAATTCATTAATATCTGACAAACTTACTCTACCTCTAGCTTTTAGAGCATGTAGGTGGTTTTTCCTTTTAGTCATACGAACCAGGTCCGAGGTGAACCAAGGAGGATACTTTTTGACCCGAGAAGTGTCCCTTACCATGTACTTGGGTATCGAGGCATCCAAACATCTATACATGTGTTTATAAAAAGCAATAACACCCTCGTTTACGTTTTTTTTATATTCCTTATTTTGTTAAACAATTCCAGAGGATGTTTCAAACATTAATTTAAAAAAAGCTTAATAATCAAGTAATTTCGCTACAAACTGCTTAAAAAATCACCAAAATCGGCGCACTAAAACAAAAATATATTGAACATGAAATAAATGAAAATTTTAGGGTATAAAATATATTTCAAACACACTTCAATCCTAATTTATGTCATATATCGCTATCTCGTTTTTTTAACTGAAAAAATAAAAAAGTTATAGGGGGTGAGCCACTTTTGAAACGCACCCGGTATAGCAATAATCAACATAAAATGTTATATATATATATATACAGGGTGGTCCGAACTGTATTACGGAAACTTCGACAGCATATTCTGCAGATAAAAATAAGTAAAAAAGTTCGTATAAATGTATGTCCTAAAATGCTTAGTTTCGGAGATACAGGGTGTAGAAGTTTCATTTTTATTTCGATTTTTTCCAAATAATTTATGAAGTAACGTCAATATTTGGATGAAAATTGGTGTTTTTTGACATGAGAAATTTGATTTTGATGTCAATATGACTTCTATTAGTAGGGGGTGCCACCTAGATATATTTTAATTGGTTTGAAGAGTAATAAATTTTCGTCCGTACCTGTGTAAAACTACTGAGTAAAAAAATATACATTTCACGGTTTTTACGTGAAAAAGGTCTCTTGGTAAAAATCGCTAGGAGTAACGGTTTTCGAGATATTTTGAATCAAAATTATCAATACCAGTCAACATTTACATAAATTAAACATGCTGACTAAATAGTTATTAGACTGAAATCATAAATTTGAAATGTTTTTGTGCCAAAAGTTCAACAGAAACTGTTTTACCATCATTTTTTGCAGAAAAATGTATGATTAATTAAAAAAATAAAAATTTCCCAAATTTATTATTTCAGTAAAATAACTATCTACTCAACGTGTTTATTTTTCGTCAATAATGACATGTATTGACTATTTCCATTCTAAAAATCTTAAGAACGGTTGCTCGTAGCGATTTTTACAAAAAGATATTTTTTACGTAAAAAGTCACAGAGATATATATTCTTTCGCTCGGTAGTTTTATACAGGTACGGATAATAAGTTATTACGCTTCAAAACAGTTAAAATACATGTAGGTGGCGCCCTCTACTAGTAGGAGTCATATTGACATGAAAATCAAATCTCTCATGTCAAAAAACTCCCAGACCCCAATTTTCATCCAAATATTGACATTATTTCAGAAATTATTTAGAAAAAATCGAAATAAAAATGAAACTTCTACACCCTGTAGCTCTGAAACTGAGCATCTTAGCACATACATTTATACAAAATTTTTTACTTATTTTTATCTGCAGAATATGCTGCTGAAGTTTCCGGAATACAGTTCGGACCACCCTGTATATTATAACTTTATTCCCTTTCGATAACACCATGCCTACTACATTTTACGGTAGAAAAAAATGTACTTACAGCAAAAGCATCATTGTCTACATCGCCAGTTGCAAATCCCTGGTAGGCCATGTCAAAGAATGGGAACAAATTCTTCTGTTTTATAACACACGATAATTCGGCCCATTGTTCTTTACTGGGATCAACACCTGTTGGATTGTGTGCACAGGCATGCAACAAAATAATAGACTTTTCTGGTATTTTCTGAAAAATAAATAATTTCTCTTATTTACAGACTCTCTAGCTCACTCTTTAATAGCAGCCCACATTTTAAATATATTTTTAGCTATACAGGGTGTTTTAAACACAATGTAATGCTAAACATGTAGTCCTTAGGTAAGCTGACTTGTCACAAAACTAAAAACTGCTCTCCAAAAATACGATAATGTCAAACTAAAGTCAAAATTTATAAATGATTCATGTTTTTTAACTGAATAAATTTCATAAATGTGCCCTTTTCAAAACTAGTTAAACTAAAATGATTTATTGACTGGTAGGTTAAAACTAGAAGAGGATTTTTTCTACTGTTTCCGATAGAACGTTTTGTGTTTTATATTATAAATAAAAGTAGTTTTTATCTGGCCTTGTGCCTAATTTACATTTTGTCAAGTTGCAAATGCAAGTGACAAATGCAAAAGTTAAGTAAGATAATTAGAAATAAGTTAAATTCGCGTATAATCAAGTGCAAGTGTAAAATAAAGTAATTAAAACATCGGTAATGTTTGCTGTCATAAGTTCTTCACAGAGAGAAACTAATAACTAAAGTGAGAGGGCTTGTGGAATAGGGCATTTCGTAGACAAGTTTATTTTGTCACCGCGCATCCCAGACGCGCATAGCGTTTGGCGGTCACAAAAGGAAGTTTTCAACTTTGCAAGTTAAACATTTGACAGGATTAATTAGATTGTCAGTAGCTTTTTCTATTTCTTAGCTCTAGAAGGAGATAACTAAAATCTGTTGATAATCGGAGCAAATCGGAGTAATAAATTGTTTTTAACAGAATGTGCCTGTTCTTTTAGCTTGTCAGAAGAGAAGATTATTGTCATTATTGATTATTTCAGATTCCACGATTATTCCGCATTTTGTAATTTTTGTTTTGTGGTTGAGACCCAGACAAAACGTTTCCTTTAAAGGTAAGTTTTATCTCGGTAATTATTTTAACATACCTAATAGTAATAGTGAGTGCACATAATAATCGTACATTGCTAATTTAATTTTTTTAATTTAAAACAGCACATTCTTTTCTGATACCTATGGAACGACTAGGTACTATACCTGGTGTTATTTCCAGTAATACAAATTATTTTCTTCAACTGCTAGGTTCTTGTTACCTACGGGATACCGACTGATACTCTGTGCGAGCTCCAAACCATGCTTCCCTGTTCACTACCAACCAAGTTAGATAAAAAAGATACTGAAGATTGCAGCCTTGAGTTGGAGTATGGCAAGGAGTCTGGAGTTAAATAAATTATTATGTTCCTACACAGTATTTTATTTATAGGTTTTAATGCTTTAAAGTCTAATAATAAATTTTCGTTGTCAAGAAAATAATCTAAAAAAACTACGAAGATTTCTTACTATAAACTTGAAAGATTAAGATTCGGTTCAAATATACAAATTTTAAATTTTTGGCGCCTGTATATAGGTATGAATGCAACCTACTATATCGATAATACGCTCATAGTTCGGGTTAGACGCCAAAGGCCGCGCCACTAACACAGTCTTCAAAAATTAACGTTGATCGGTTTCTCTCACTTTAGTTATTAGTGTTCTCTCTGGTTCTTCACTGCACCTGCAGCATGGTCCCGCACTTGACGAAAATAACTTCATACTGTGTGTAGTGTTATAATAGAACACTCCCAGGTTACTTGCTGTTTATTGTTATTGGAACTGTTTCGATAAACGTTTTAAAACAGTACCTAAAGATTAGGGCATTTTACTAAAATCTTATTTTCTGATGAGATTACAGTTGAGAGTTTGAACCAGAGATGAGCAACAAATTGCAAACTGCGATTTGTTGTGAAGTTCTTGGAATTGTTTCGATAAATGTTTTAAAACATTAGGGCATTTTACTAAAATCTTATTTTCTCATGAAGATTACAGTTGAGAGTTGGAACTAGAGATGAGCAACAAATCGCAAACTGCGATGTAATCACAGCGATTTTAAAATCGCAATCGCAACCTGCGATTGGTTCTCATAGGAAACAGCGACTGCGATTTTTTCTATTTGCGAGTGTCAATTTAGGCAACCAATATTACTATAGTTGCGATTAACGATTTTGCTGCGATTTGTGATTTTGGTACGACTGTGATTTTGTAAACTAGGACCGTGTAGCCTTCTATCTGCGAGTTTGAATTTTTAGGAGTTGTTATTTGCGATTTTGTTGCGAATGTAATTTTGTGGTTTGGTTTGGAAGTGAAGAGTGGTTTGCCTCTATAACTTTTTTTATTTTTCTGATAAAAAAAACGAGATTTGGTATGTAAGCATATGACATAAATTAGAATTTACGTATTCAATTCGTTTCGATCACTTCCCGTTTCACCGGAAATTACTACATCTTTTGACCATCAGTATTTTTTTTACTTTATTCCATAGAAAATGACACTCTGAATAGAATGTCTAATACAATATTTAAATATTAAAATCGCAATCGCAGATTACAGTCACAACGATTTAAAAATCGCAATCGCAGTTTCGCTCATCTCTAGTTGGAACCTTTGATGTACAACCCTAGATCATAAATATATACTTACGTGGATAAATAAACGCCATAAGTTTAGCATTAAAAAATATGTCTCCAACATCACGACATGCCATTTTCAAACCTTCTTTATTGCATTATGAAACGTTCAATAGGTTTGTCTTTCTCGATGACCCTACTTTCCGCCATGCGCATTAAAAGTTGCACGTATTTCCAAAATAATCACAATTTTATACGGTTTATAACGTTTATACTTTGAATAAGAAGACTAAGGAAGGAGCATAATGCTATCCATGTATTCATGCATGGTGGGCGGAAAAGCCACCATAAAAGCTCTCTAGGGTGGGGATCCTTGACAGTTCTGTTTGACGATTCATTTGACACATTTGAATTTGATTTGAAATTTTGTGGATTTGTCAGTCTTTATGAAGCTTATTTTATGTTATTTATTATTTATTCTACTACTGATAGTTGTATAAAGGTAGTAAATCTAGATGGAAATTGTGGCAGAACTTAAATTAACAGTGACACTATCGCGATTTATCGAAAAAGACTCTAAAATAGTTGGTTATTGTAGCGTGCGGTAGATCTCGGCAAAATTGAGTGAAATAATGGAACACCTTTTCGCTAGTAAGTGACTATATAATATACATACGTGTAGTAAACCGATCATTTCTGAAATTCACTTAAATTAACTAAATTATATATTTTTCTTGCATTTTAGCTTTTATTTATTACTTGTCAAAGATTAGATGTCAAAGAATTTAGATACGTTAATTTGACTATGATTTGACTTACCTGCTTCAGTAGCGTATCGGATGTTTGTGTTAATAAATACTTATTATAACTTATCTATTTTTATTAGAATTATACCGTATGATCGAATAAAAACGGCGTCAGCGATGGCTATGAAATGAAGATCGCTGTCATTTTATATGTAAAATTATATGGGAAATGTCATCGATCGTCATTTCCAAGCCAACTGGACGCCGTTTTTATTCGATCATACGGTATATTTTTATAACAATTTTATTAACTAGCAACATTTATTCACAACGTAAAATAAAACAACAAATTATTGAGTCTACCCCACGTCTACCCTACATCATAGTTTTACATTTTTTAAATAAAATTAGAACGACACTGATAAACCGGAATTTAAATCGGCCATATTTGAGGCCCATCGCGGTGTACCTAAGATTTTTGATATGCTCCTTCCTTAGTCTTCTTATTCAAAGCGTTTATACGGTTAGATGACGGATGGATGACGGTTAGTAAAAATTATACATTGTTATGGAAACCAACTTTTCATTGTCATTATATTGTCATAATCTTATTCCACTGTGTAACGTCGCTTGTTTTTTGCGTTTTTTATTTTAAAAATTGTCTTAATTACTTTTTTAACGACCGTTTTTATATAGCCAAGGATGCAAGTGAGAAGTTAATTTTAAGTTTGTGCAATTATATTTCCATTTTTTTTTTCGTTGGACTTTCTAAATACTCGCAAAAATGACTAGAAAGTGTTTGGTGTGTGGAAGTTCTAATATAAAGGTCCCCGAATTATCTTTTCATAGGTAAGTATTCAGTTGTTCTTTTATTTATATTAACCTTTTTATTCAAAGATATTAACTCACATGCGTACTTTCTAGTTAGATTTCCTAAGAATATTGATATTAGTACGGAGTGTCTAAATGCATTTTTTATATAATTTAATTTTTGTGACAGTAAACATGCAATTCATTGTTCAAATATATGCATTTTCCAAATTAAATTTTTAAAATTAATGTTCAAATGTGGCGCGTGGACGCTAGGTCCTCGACAAATACAGACAGAGTAGAAGCTTAGTAGAAGCAACGCGTGTGCAACAAAAAAAGAAGATAAATGGAAGTCGTTGATATGTTTGCGACAGTTTCCATATTTTCTAATCTGGCTATATAAAAAACCTTATCATCGTTACATGGCCAATTTTTTGTGTGAAGTATCCTTTTGTGTAGCCATGAAATAGTCATGTCTGCCAGCGCGATCCCGAGGCTTAAGGCGGGGGCGGCCAATCGAAAAAAAATTTTGACACTAAAAATATTATAAAATACATGAGTTATAATTGCGAAAATAGCTTTTATTTATTATTAAGAAACGTGGGAAATTGTTGGCAGACATTCTCTAGTCGCTAAAATGCCGACAGACAACGCGAAAGAGGCATGAAATTTTAAAAATTATTAAAAAATGAAATTTGAAGAATGAAAAAAATTATGGTATATTTTCATGCCGATTGGTGAAATGTCATATTTATTTATTTTAAAAGCCGTATGCAAAAGGGCAGACAAAAATCGTGGCTCAATCAGCTGCAGACAGTTATCAAAAGCGCGATATTACTCTAGCGCTTTATTCAGGGAACGCTGGCCGCCTCATCCATTTAAGTATAGATAAATCATATAATATACGATTATATTATAAATATATTTTTTTATTATTTCAATAACGATTTTTTTGTCTACCCTTTTGCA